TAGGTTTGAGTCATGGTTATCGGTACCAAAAAGACAAGAAACGATCAAGGAACCCACATACAAAAGCCCAGCTATAAAGAATGGTCACAATGCAAGTATTTTCACCAAGTTTTCTTAACCACTCAAAAACAAGGGAATGTCCATTCTAGGTTGAAGTGCTGGAGTACATTTCCGAGGTAACAATAGGAGTTCTTCTAAGTATGAGAATACAGGAATCTTTTGAGTACAAGTACATGTACTTACTTGAGTATGACTGCGAGTACCAAACCTTTTCTCAATTTTGAGTAATACAACAGTGCTGGGGATGTAAAGTAAACAGATGTGAGTAGATGTGCTCTCCTATGCGGTTCCACTGTCAGAGCTTTGCTGTCTGTACATGTATCTTCGCAGTGTCACCACTCTAGGAGAAGGGAAACTCTAACCACAAACCCCCAGCCAATTGGTCCCACTGCCTTGTGGGTAATCTTTGGGAAGACTAGGGCTAGAGGAGTCAACCCCGACAGGAATTTAGGAGGGGAAGGCGGTTTGGCGTCAAACTCTGTCTTGACTCCAGCAGCTCCTGCAGCCCAGTCATGGTCAAGATGTGATGTTTTGCTTCCCTCTTGACTAGAGCTGCTTAGCGGAGAGGGGGGTTGTGGTACTTTGGCAACCCACGACCTCCATACACCTCTTCGCCCAGGATTCAGAGACTCCACCCATCTTTGGCGCTTCTGACATCTTGGTCGCTTGTGACCGACTTCCATGACATGTTACCATGTAACAAATTTCCATTTTTCTTTGACATAAAGAGCACAAGGAGCCGACAGGGCGAGGAACGAGACGCAGCCACAGAGCTTCAGGTAGATATGTGTGCATATATCACTCTGAGCACAGCCCCACAATGCTCAGCGAAGGGTCAGAGAGGACATGTAGCAAGATCAACCTTGCTTGCATGATCTCAATTCATAGGCTGAATACGGGTGATTTATGGTGTAGTGCGCCACCAAGAGTTGGTCACCACAGCTTCTAGCTGTGTACATGTGCCATGCACTTCTGTCCGTGTTACAGAAAACATTTTGTTTTGACTCTTTGATCAAAATGGCTCCTACAGTCATCAATCATGGTGGAGATCTTTCAGTTGACAGATGATTGATAAATCCATGCACATTTTCCTGGCTTGAAAGTCAGGTGGAAAAAGTGGCATCAAAGGGAAGATGAACATTGTCGGAGGAACGTAATAAGCATTTAGATTTTTCAGTTTCCTCAAGTCTGACCCCAAGCCGTATGATTTTTCCGCATCATGTGATGCACAGTTCATTGTCATGCATCCCCTTAATCAACCCTACATTTTTAAAAATTAATTCCTTAGCATGAGCAGTGCCTGGCCATTCAGTGCCGCATCAAGTTCTGCCGGATGTTCTACACCGCCCTTCTCGCAACCAACAAAAAAGAGGTAACAGCATGTCATGCGGCCATCCATTTCTCAACCACTGATTTGAAATTATTCCATACGTGTATATGAAAATGCAGACTCTGTAAGATTTTGCCGCTGATGTTAAGGTGCGGGCATCAATGTACCTGGATTGGACAGCACATGTAGGCTACAGGAATAATGTCGTAAGTGGCCCTTCGTGCTCATCAATAAGTGCCATTGAAGGACGTGTAGTTTGCATGCACTCTTTTGAGCGTGTACAGGTAGAATGAAGCAGAGTGTGCAGATTTCCTTTTCAACGGAATGTGCACAAAGAAAATAAAATCTTTGCTTCAGAGGATGAGCACTCAGTTGTCTCATTAATATTAATGTGCGGTCTTACCTCTGAAGCGGCACTCTGTCAACCTACTGTGCTAACTGCTAGTATTTGTGCTGTGTGTATTTACAATATCAGCCCAATTTGGAATTTGAGGTTCTGTTTTTAATCTCTGCGGCATTGTTTTCGTCTTGGGTTTTTCCTAACGTGAGTGTTCTTATGCAAGATTAAAACTGTGATGACATCTCAGGCAAAAGCAGTCAGTTTACAGCTGTCAAAACACAGAAGGTTGTTAGAAATTTGTTTTCCTATATGTGACCCACTCTGTAAAAATGAGTCATAAGTCGTCAGAGCCACGTTTTGAGTTTTCATTTGTATTGGAAAGAGCAAATTGAGTTTTTGTTTTGATGTATCACTCAGTTTGGCATCCTGATGAAAGTGGATTCTCCATGGCAACAAATGCTGTGGGTTCCTATTGATTTACACTGTGCAAAATTATTCTGAAGGACTTTTTACTCCAAAGTGGCTCTGGAGACTTAAGACTAATTTTCACAGATTGGGTCACATATTCAGTTTGGCCGTAGCAAGGAACAAACAGCAGCAAAGAATGGAACAAATACCTTTTTCCAATACCTTTACTCAATATTGATTGACATTAGACTGGATGATTTGAAATAAACGAGTATTGATTAATTTGAGATGGCTTCTGATGACTTCTGAAGATTCCTGATCCTTTAGTGCAACTCTGCTAAGTTAGGCCTGGTTCCCATATGGTTGAAATGAAAGCACTTACGATGTCACAGTTGCCAAAGAGATGCTGCGTTATGTCATTCCCCAAGAAATTAAACAAAATGGTGTCCGAAACTCAGAAAATTTTCCCATATGTGATGCGACCTGCGAAAACCCTTTACATGGTGAGCTTTGTCATCTGGGCGCACATAAACTTCCAATTAATACGGACATGCTCCTGTTTTCAGATATGTTTCATTCGTGATTCTATATCGTCTGCAACATGAATAGTTTTGAAAACAGGGCAGTGTCCAGATCAATTTGAAGTTGATATGCACCAAAATGACAAAGCTTACCAATTGAAGGGTTTTCGCAGATCACATCACATATAATGTCCTGTTAGGTGGTGCTTTGCTTCTTGAAGCCAAACTGATACTCCCTTTTGATGTACAGTATTTGATATGGTTAGCTGTTTTGTAGACGTAATAGTAATGAGGAGCAAAAAGGCAAAATGAGTGGTACTCGGTGAGAGGGATGTTGTTGTACGTCAGTCATGCCAGCGTGTGCTTTGTAAAGAGGTTATTCACTGATGTCACATTGTCACATGACTTTCCACTCGCTTGCCTTGTTGGCCATCAAGCCAGCTTATGAGACGAGCAGGCACTGCATAGTAACACGCACTTTGGATCGATGCTCGAGCAGAAAATGATACATCCCATGAAAGAAATTGCGTTTTCTGACACTGCTAACAACTTGGATGGTTCACAGGGCATGACATATTTCAAAGATTTGGCAGTACTGTGAGACAAAAATCGCAGGACTTTGGAAAGTCCGAAGTGCGCCACGTTTAAGGGAAATGTGCTAACATTAGTCCTACGTGGCCTACCGGCAATGAAGTGAACACTGCAGAGATGCGTAGTTTGGAGTCTAGTTTTCGCGTCGAGTTACATTGATCCATTTTGCTCTCTGTTATGGATCGGCAGGGGATCTTTTGAAGTATCTTCATGGTTGTGGCACCCTACGGCACAGCAAACTTTCAGCATTTTAAAGCGACAGCAAACAAACTGTGCTCATACATGTGTTTACGTGGGCTACCATGCATGCACTTGACGGCCAATATGGTGGCATCGGCGAAACCACAGACTGTATGACGTCATGTGAATTTCCTCTATAAGCCCACAGTAGCTATTACATGCAGATAGTCGGCAAAATTGAATAGAGTTCAACTTTGCCGACTATAAAGTGTTTCCATATCATTGCGTATCAGCAAAAACTGATTGGCGATGCTCTCGGCATCTCTACATGTCGAGATGGAAATTAGGCTTTACATATCACCAAGACCCGACATGATGGTGGAGTGCATTGCAGCAGAGGTGACATGCTTTGTCCTTGTCTGTGTGATTCCCCCCCCCCCTTAGGTGAAGCAAGGAGTTGAAGAAGCAAGGAAGCTGCTCGTCCAAGCGGCCGACCTCCTTCCGCTCATTCACAAGTCCATCCATCTGGGCATTCAACCAGAGACCACTCAGAGTACAGCAGACAAAAAGGACCGAGTCACTGGTACGATCCGATTCCTCGACTGCCCGCCCTCTGCCCCCTTTGTTTGACGTAGTTTCCCCTCTCTCCGCATTCCCAGATACTAATTACTTCACCGCAGGCCGAGTTCGGGCGGCTTGTTCTCTTGTTAGTTTGTGGCACGTAACATATGTTATAATGGCAGCGTCCATTTACGTTCTTCGAGAGTTAGTGTTTGGATAACTGGGCCGAATTCTTTTCTATTTACAAAGAAACATTCATTTCTAACTTCTAGAAACTTATCAATAGTAATTTTGTGAAACTCCCCATTGTCTCGGGCTTTGTGAGCCATCTCGCAAATTTTTTTTTTTTTGGCGGCTGTTCAACAATCAAAGTCTCACGAGTTTTGCCGTGCATCCCTGTGAACCCCTAATGAGGAGGTGGTGTGTGAACTTGTTCCGAGAACAGTGTTGGGCCGTGTTCCTGCTGTTGGAGCGTGAGAACAAGAAACCCGTGTCAAGAACAGGCCGCCCGGGCTCGTCCTCAAGTGCCCTGAATGAGCCAGCTTAGATCTCCAACAGTGCCTTTAGCAAATGAAGCACATCATTTGGTCACTCTGGACAGACCACGTACACTGATTCACACTACATTTGTTCCAGCTGCTTTTTATCCAAGATGACATTGCCTTATTGGCCTTTTGTTGGCCTATAACCTATCAATACTGTCTCTGGAGTCAGTGTCAGCCCATTGGCTAATCATTCCATGAAACCAAGCTCCCAAGAATCTGCTAACTCCAGCACCCATTCATCACATCATCTCAGTGCCCAGTCACCCATTAATCCAGTATTTACTCACCCCAGTCACCCTGTGTTCAAGCAACCCATTATCCAGTACTCAGCCACCCCAGTCATACGGTGCCCAACTACCTGGATACCCAGTCACCGAATGATGCAGTACCTTGTCACCGTGTGTAAAATAATCCATTATTTAGTACCCAGTACCCAGCCACCCCAGACATACTTTGCCAAACCAGTCTTTAATTGGATACCCAAGTCACCTAATCACGCAGAACCTAGTCACCCCAGTCACGGTTGGGGCCAGTTAACCCATTCACCTCAATACCCAGCCACTAATCTAGCAGGCAGTTCTCCAGAAGTCCATCCTCTTTGGTATCCAGCCAGAAAGTTTTTTACTTGGTACATCACAGATGCAGTATGATCTGCTACTTCATTATGACAAAAATGCCCTCATAATTAGAGGACTTCCCATCATATAGGATTCCAGGCCGTTTCCTTTTAGATTTGCCCATAATATATCCCCAAATCATAGGCTATTGGCCATTGATTTCCCAATTGTTTCTTAATTTCCTTCTGATTGTGAA